CATGCATGCGATAAATAGGGCTTCCCGCCGATCTCTATCCTCTCTCCTATCCTTTTGACGCAACACAGGCCGATGTCATAGTTTGCAAATCGCTGGATCCGAGCGTTGCGCTAGCATCACGTGCACTCGTTGCACTAGCGAATCTAACTTTGCACCAGCGAGTCGAACTACACTGCGACGCATAATTATAGTTCCACCTACAAATTTCCCAAAAACTTGTATATGAAGATGTTTTCGAAAAAGGTTCCAGTGAGGAATTGTGAGGCATATAAACGCTGTTCTGAATATCAACACAGAATTCCAGTTCGAGGAAGCAACAATTTTTTATTTTCATTTTTCTGAAAATACTCGCTCTGCCAATGGCGCAAAATTATAGTTCCACCACATGTTTCTCCGCTGCATTTTATTTTTCCAATCAAATTTTGAAATTATTATCCCTATAGGTCACATAGGTCATTGCAAAAGCGAAACCGCTGCCAGAATCTCGTTAAAGGAAAATCCTAGCAAAAGAGGCACATTAATTGCCGAAGTGTCAGTTCACGCTGAAAATTGGTCAGGGTCACTTCATACAGTATGTACAGTAACACAGTATGTAGATGCTGAAAATAATAGGTTGTTGCAACACAAATGTCGCACAGGTTTAGTCTTACCCCACTTTCTGAGTTTCTTGGAATTTCGGAGCCACTGCTACGTGATTGGGCCGCGCAAAGCCTGTATGGGATCAGCTTATTCAACTCAATGAAAGGATAAAATAAAAGGATAAAGCATTTGCCGTTGATCAATCCCTTTTTGGGATGCGGCACGCATTCTACTTCCATTTGTACATTCGTAGTGGCGTTTGAATGCGATGTGGCCTATACAATGACTTGCGGGGCCAGCCGATGTACAAGTCAGTGTTTTTATCCTCCCAGACAAGTCTGGTACCAATTAACCGACCCCGGAGGGATGGAAGGCTTGGTTGGCCCGGGCGACTCACGACCCAGGATTTGATCCCCGGACCGCTCGCGTGGTAAGCGTGCCACTTGCCACTACACCACTTCCGCCCCATTTGCATGATAATATGATATTTGTTTTTTCGAAAAGTCGGAGACAACATAAACAACGACGAAGGTTCAGTCATTCAGAAAATCGAAGAAGAATTGAGCAGAAAATTCCGGTGGACAAACAATTATGGGGTTATACGACCCTGTGGCCGGCTTGTTCTATTTACCCGGTTTTTTCTACTGTAGTGCTCATGGTGTGCCTTTCTACCAAATCACTAATAGAAAACCCTGTGAAGTGGGCCCCTTGGGTTTTTTAGTTTTCTCTCATTCATACTCAATAGAAAATTGACTTTAGCAGTAAGACGTTTAAATAGCTATAGGACATAATAAAATTGAACAAAGAAAGCGTGAAGGAGTAAGAAGTAGTTGGTTTTCACACTACAAGTATCTTTGAATTGTAATGACATGGTTTTTTTTGGAATCGGTCTCAGTTTCACCTTTATCACAAAGGAAATCGCTTAATTTTAATGACTCTTGAGACTCATTTCCCATCACAACCTCTTCCAGACGTCAGTTTAAAGGGTAGGAAAGCTCCGTTTGTCCACTGGCTTTTCATAATAAATCCGAGCTCCATCGAAATCCTTGAACTTCTTTCTTTGCTTGCTCAGCTGCCTTTCTGTTACGGCTCTTACCCCTGACGGATTGATCAACGTCGACGAAATTTTAGTTTTTTAGATTGGAGCTAAAGTCTTGAGACACTTCTATGCATTTTTTAAATTCTCTTACTTTTACAACTTTGAACACTCACTAATCACAGTTCATTATTATCTGTGGCATTCATCCAACGAGCGGGCGAGTCAGCTGTTCACTTTCCTAGAAGAAGAAGGTCAGGAAGTCTGCCACAGCATTTTTAAGGTTCACTAGAAGTGGCGACTTTTTCTTGGCCAGGAACCACTAGAGGTGCCTAAAATGTTGGTGGTCGGACAGGGCGAGGTCAGGAGAATAGGAAGGGGACGAACGGTATCCTGACCAAGTTCGCAGTGTATTTCTTGTTGGTTCGAGCCAACAATAAGTGCCAAGCTGGTTCGGACAGCTCGTTCGGCCCGCCCCTTCCTTCATTTCAAGAGGGTGCAAGGGAGCCCTTATTCAGAGACTTCATAGGCGGTTCTCTTTCCACTCGTTCCACTTGCAGTCAGCTCGACATCCGCAATTTCACTATCGACCTTTTCGCCGAATGAGATCAATCTGGAATTACGGCTTCGAACTTAGATTTCATTCGTGGAACCACGGAGCGTCTGACCAAGAAAATCTTTCGAGACAGGAGCGCTTTTTGAAAACGATTTGTTGCATGCTATAGGGGCGCCTGTGTGAAAAAATAATAAATAAAACTGGTGATCATTTTTTCCTGAGTGGCTCTTGGATCGCCAGAAAACGACAGAGAATTCCCCTTGAGAAGTAAAACTTTTACATTCGATAAACTCTGCAGCAGTGTTAAATTACTGCATTTTGGAAACTTTTTGTTCACTGAATAAACTTAGACATAACATCACAGCACAGTCATGAAAAAGTGGAAATCGGAGTAATGCAAAAATTTGTCATCAGTGGGATCGAACCACAAGCCAATGGTTTCGAAATATTTTTTGCAACGCTACGCCACTCACTCAGAAAAACATTCTCAGTTTAGGTTTCGCTCCAAGTTTTCAAAAAAATTTTTGGTCAAGGTCGCCGCATGAGAGAATCACAAAGTCCATTATATTTTCCCTTCCGATCCTGCATTGCCTAATCGGTAGGAACTTATTCGTATGATGCACGATAACGTCCAATTCCCATGCTTCATTTCTACTATTATTTCAATGGATTTCTAAAAAATTTCGTACCGTTCGACACCCTCATTCAAGCTCCGCTCATCTCTTCGGACATTCCTTTTCTATAGAGTTCTCTGCACCCATCCATGGTAGTCCATTTCATTCTCTCACTGATTCAGCTTGAAGAACCTCTTTTCCTTTTCCTCTTTCTTACCGGTCATTCCCATTTCACTGCTTTGTAGTTTTTGGACGCCTCCTATAGAATATGAGCCTGGAAGGAATAGAATCTCTTCGTTTTTATACGAACCGTCCGAAATCCAACTGTAGGCTAGCCGTGCAATTAACTTGCAGCTTGAGCAGGTCTTCACCAAAATTTGCAAAACAAACGCCTCTTTTTCCGCTAGTAATTAGCAATCAACGAATATTTCGAAAACCAAAAATACTCGTCTTTTCGAAAGAATGCTTCAGACCGCCTCGCGCCCGTAATTTTTGGCCAGATTTGTGTTAGCAAGTTTCAGCTGTTTCAGCTCTGTACATAACTCACACATTTTTAGGGCATCAATTCCGAGGGGAAAACATCTCCTTATTCTACGAGTTCAACCATGGTCGTTATCCATACTATAAACATTACAACAGAAATATTCCCATTTACGGGGGAACACCGCAGGTACTACTCTTACAGGTGTATCTTTTGCAATTTTCAGTAACGTTTTCATGTTTCAGAATCTCAGCGAAGAAGATGTTAAGGAACACCTCAACGTTTCCAGATATAATATTAGTGAATACATTAAGAGTGAAAACTCTTCTGGTCTTGGAATAATAGACTTCGAGGAGTGGCGCCCTTTATTTGAATTGAACGTTTATAAGAAGGAGGTTGGTTTCTGAGTTCTAAGTTACGCTTTCAAGAACTAGAAAAGAACTTCTTAAAGTCAAATTGGAGTAAGCGGTGTTGTGACGCAAAGAAAGAATATTTTGCATCCACTTTTGGTAGTGAATTGCGAACAAAAGAACTGTCGAGGGGCAAGAGCGTAGGTAGTGCACATAGTCACTATTGAGAGCTCCAAACTTGAACCTGTTGAGGAGAGTGGTCACTATGAGCTCAAGATCTGAACCTGTTGAGAAGGAGAGTTGCCGTTTGTTGGTGTTTGACTTCTCGATATCGCTGGTACTCATCGTCCGCGCTCTTTTCACCTGCTACGCCCTTTCATTTCGTGTCGTTCTATGTTCAATTTTTCCGTCATATTACGCTAATCGGCATTCTCTTGTCGATACATTTGACCCACCAGCACGGTCCCAGGAGCCCGTCGCGCGACGAAGTCACAGACGCTCGGCGCGCATGGGACTAGTCGCACCGATACTGTAGCCAGTTAGGCGTCAAGTCCAATCTAACCATTACAGTACGTCCCACACCATTCACTCCACGGCGTGGGCTCAAAATGCGATATCTGCTTGGTCCCGCCTTGTGTGCTTGTTTTCTTCGCCTTTTTAAGCTATGTCTCTTGCCTTTCCTCGTCCCAAAATCTATTATTTGTCGCGGCATGTTGAATGTTGAGCGCTTAAACTAGTTTCTCAGTCCAGCTTAATCAGATTGTCGAGCTACTCAGCCGTCGTGTGGAGTGTCATGACTCTCCGGTCATGATTTGGGGTAAGCACATTGACCGCCACACGTCCTATTAGTCATTAACGATCGATATTTGGAATTTGAAAGTACCGCCAACAAACCATTCCAACAAGACATTCTAAAGGACCGCCCCACTCGCCTCATTATATATACCGCCCTCTTCTGGGGGGTATAAAGACGGCCTCCTGAACGGCGGAGCCAGTCTTCGCTCCTTCATTTTTCCTCTCGAGTATTCTCAATCTCCTTCTCACTCTCCCTTCGAGGCCCGCCCCCAACAAGCGACTACGGTCGCACCTTGACGCTCTCACTTCGACGCCAGCTTGACACCTACACCGCAGTGGACTTACGCCAGTCGGACTCGCCACCTACAACACTAAATATGCTAGTAGACGACAATGAAACAATTAGCACGATGGTTGACGACTGAGACACAGCATAATACAAATACATCAACAACTCTCTTTGTATAAATTTATTTTGTATATTCGTGTGTGTTGTAGTTAGTTAATAAATGATTTATTTAACAAACTGTTCACTACCACTGAATCAAAACAGGCACTTGTGTGCAATGTCATGGCTGCCTCGCCTACCCCCAACCCCCCTAGAGACTGTCTTCAACTCCCCGGGCTTCACGGTCCGTACTTCGAGAAACGTACGCAGGGGAGGTGTAGTCTAGATGAAGTGGGGGAGGCAGCACTTGATGCCCCCCATTACTGGGTGAGGCCCAGCGTTTTTTTTTTGCCTTTTTGGAGTAACCATTACATAGGGGCATAGTGCTTACTTCGTGAAGAGCGTCAGCGAGGTTTTGAGTCTGGAGGGATACATAATACAAAGAAAAAAAGCGTTAGCGACATGACCAAACAGATACCACGTTTTTGAGCCCACGCCGTGGATCGAATGGAATGGGACGTACTACCATGTAAATTGAATTGACGCCTAACCGCTACAGAATGTGGTGCGACTTATCCTCTGCCGCGTCTGCACCTCTGACTTCGTCGTGCGACACGCCTCATGGGGGGGTACTCGACCACCGCAGCCCTTCAGACAGGCGATGCCGGCTGCGCATCGAGCCCTGAGACGTTTTGCTGCACGCGGAGGGCATTACCTGCTCCCCTCAGCGTCAAGCATCCCCATCATGGTTTCGCGTGCTAGCTACCATTGTTTCGCGTTTCACGACTGCCCTTACGCAGACCTGCCCACCAATGAATAGCAGCTCACCCAAGCGGAATCTCCAAAATTCTGTTCATAGGTGCTCTAGGCGGTCCAGTCTCGTCAAAGTGTTAGTGCTAGGAAGAAAGAAATTTCAGTTGAAAGCTAATTTTTTTGTTTTTTTTTGTTTTCCTGCTATAAAAGCTAGCTACGATTTGCCTGCGATACAAGGTACCACAATAGTTGGATTGATAGTTTTAACATGGTTATAATTCTGGTTGTTCCAGTGTTACAAGCTGGCGGCTATTCGAAACATACTCAAAGAGACCATACTCCCTCAGTGGAAGACGATTAACGATACCGCTATGCTGGAATACAACGAGACAGCTAGGTTCGCATACATTTTAGTTATGTTGGTTATTTAAGCTGCCACCGGAAGAAGAGCGACGATACCTCAAGCACAGAAAGCAGGAAGAAGAAGAAGCTAGAATAATTTTTTTCCAATTATTCAGGGTCTTCATCGAGCAGTCTTTAACTGATGCAAAAAGCTTTCGGAATGAAACTCGCTGGGGGCTGTATGGCTTTCCATATTGCAACTACAACGCTGGAGAAAAGAACGAGACCAGATGTCGCGAGGACTACCGAAACTACAACAACAGGTCAGGAGCCTACACAACTTGCTTACCCTCCCCTTCAAAAAGCCAGAAATTGTGCGGTGCAGACCATACACCACAAGTGACGACGGCCTCAAAGTAAATCTGGTTAGTAGTGGTTCATAGTGATAGCTGATTTTTAGTAAATGATAGTTGTAATTACTGTCAACTGATCGAATACAACTGTAACAGGTTAATCATTTCATTGGCAAAACATTTGCATTTTCTGGAGGCCGTCGTCACTTGTGGTGTATGGTCTGCACCCGACACTTTCTGGCTTTTTGAAGGGGGAGGGTACAGGATCAATTTGACGGGTTCTGTAGCATAGTTAGCACACTGCATTTTGGTCGCTACGAATTACATCTTAAGGCCAGCACTAGTATGAATCTCCATTTCCGGTGGTTATTTGTTTTACTGCTACGTAGTGGCAGTTGAGACCATCTCGCGGTGCCGATAAGGTGGTGGTGGTTCAGGATGATGTACATCTACAATGCAAGCCAAGCGCTGTATCCTTCAATTTACCTCAAGAACTCCTCCACTCCAGAATGCAACTTCCGATACGTACAGGTAGATCTTCAACGCGTTGTTCATCTTTTACTTAGCGTTGCACATCTTTGTAATCTCGGTCAAGGCGTTGAGTGAAACTTAATCCTTGGTAGGGAAAAGGGGTGACAGGCTGCTAGTATAAATCGGTACGCTTTACTTGACTCGTTGTTCAAGAAAAAGGAAAAAGTGCCGAAAACGCTATTAAAGGCAGAGATTACGATGAAAAACAGCCCACTACATAATAATCGAGTTAGAGGCGGTCAGTGATGAAGGGATGAAGAAAAATCGGCACTCCAACCCAGCAGGTGTGAGTCAGGTCAAAAAATTTTTTGCTGAAATTTCTCCTACGGGGGTTATAGAGGGTCCTGACCACGAATGTGAAATCCGTTTTCAGCGCTGAATTGGCGCCATTTGTCGCCGGATGGCGCCGTGACTGAATCTTACCAAATCCGCAAGTGAGAGAGCTCATGAGAATAGAAATATGCTTAAAGGAGGAATTCACGATTAGAATGAAGGTCGAAGAAAGGGAAACTGACCTAGTTGAGGGACCCACGGACCTCCTGAGGGTGCGAACTGACGCGCAATTCGCATGGAAAAATTTGACCTCGGCGACCTATCATGCCTCAAAGCTGGCGGGTCCGGCGATCTCCGCCCACCGATCATCTGATCACTCGCCGTAGTTCAATACGTGGCGAGTGATTAGATAGCTGAGAGAGCGTAGTGTTGAAGAGGGCACAGCGATGAGAGTCGCATCAATGCTCAAATCAACGGGCAAGGAAGGGGTCCCATTTCTCGGGTTCTGGGCCGTTTCTCATGGTTCTTCCTTCTTTCGTGTACCACTCACCATCCCTAGGTTAATTTGAAATGGGTTGCTTTTTCATCGTGAATTCGTCCTTTAAAACAGCGCGAACGACAAAAACAAATGTCATATTTGCAATAAGGGCCTCAAACAACCCATATATACAAGTTTACAGCGAATTTGGCGCTAGCGACAAAAGGATCTCGTATTCGTGACCAGGGCCCTCAATAATC